ACTGCTCACTTAATTCAAAGACTAGAGAATGAAGGTAAAAAGATGATTGTTGAAAATAGCTTTTTTTTTTTTTTTAACAAGTAGCATTTGTCGTGCTTTGCAGACTTTTGAAGGCAACACCAACTATGACACGCCTGAACTGCGGACTTTTGAACCTGTATCGACGAGATTCATCCGCGTTTACCCTGAGAGAGCCACACACGGAGGACTGGGGCTGCGAATGGAACTGCTGGGCTGTGAACTCGAAGGTAATTGCTCTGCTAGAGACGAATGCACTTTATTATTTTCATAAATACATTCTCCACTTGCACTACTGCTGAACACTGCTGTGTCTGTACAGGCAGCACATCGGACTCTCGCTTCCGTGACTGCCATTAGTGCTGTTTCTTGGCCTAATCAGTTCCTTCTCTGCAGACATTTGAATATGCCCAAGGCACAAATATTATTCTTTCTCCCATTCCTTTGTTGAATCACAGTGATATTCTCCACATGGTTTTCTGTTCCCTTAAGCAGCCTTATGATTATACTTCTGAGAAGCATAGAGCTATTAGGAGACAATAAAGACAGGAACTGAAATTTTATGTTACCATGATACAACCCTGGAAGAGATGTTTTCTTAGAATGCAGAGGGAGCTTTGCACTAAATACAGCAATTATGTCCCTTACTCCTTCAAAGGACGTGAAAGTCACACCAGACGCTATGGCGGGCAATCATTACTTAGCTGGACAGTGTCTGTGCTGTTCCTTTTGGGGGGTAAAGAGGGCCTCTTTGTTCCTTACCAAGGTTTAATTTTGCAAGAGTATGTAGGAGATGAAAGACCAGGAAAAGCAAAGTTTAGACATTTATCCTTGGACTGTGACATGAAGTCAAGCTTTGATTCTTGTTACATAAACAATAATTATTTAACTTCATAGATAACTACAGATAACGCTACAGGAATGTCACAATTTTATCTGGTGGATGATGGTATGGTGGTGTGGCTTATAAACCACACAGCTTAACAATACACAGAATAACAAACCATGTTATTCAGGGTTCCATATGATACTTCATATAGAAGTAGCTGAACAGGCTCCCAAGATGAATGGAACCGACTCCTCTGCTTCCATTTCTTTCTCACCATTTCTCCCCCAAGGCGGAAGAGTGGGAGGCATTTGCTGTGAGAACTGATGAGTTCAGTGTTGTTTTTTTAGTGAAGGCCAGATTGAATAAGTATGCTTTTTTACTTGGCCCGGAAAGTGGGGAGGTTGGAAATACTTCTTAGTTCCTGCAGGAAGTCCTAATTTCCTGTGGGAATACTTAGTTCCTGCAGACTATTGTGCTACTTGCTCAGAAAAAAGGAAACCCAGCACCTGCCTTATGTAAACTCACAACCTGTGGGCAAAGCCCTTCGGCCACAGGGCTCCTGTAGCCACCTAGACACCAAGAAGTGAGTCCATGCATCACCTTACAGCAACACATTGCTCAGTGAGATGGAGGAGCCAAAGAGGAGACTGACCAGGAAAAATGCCTTTGCTTTTAGGCAAACTGCAACAGCAAGTACAATTTTTCCCTGGGACACATCTTCTTGCATTTGTCTTTCTGCTATGGTGTACTTTTGAAGGGTGATCACCTGTAGGTCACCCATGGACAGGTGAGGTCAATTCCCATTTACCCATGGAAAAAGCATAATAAGGAAACTTTGTTGTATAACTGTATCTTAAGGAGGGGGTGAAATGAAGAGAAGTCACTTGAGATTTACCAAGCAAGAAAGGAGTTGAGATGAAAAAGAAGCATGGAGGTAGGCACAGACAGGAGTAGAAATCAGCTCTCCAGCAGTAATGAGCAACGGGAAGTTTTGTGTGCTCGAAGCATCCCAGGGGGGCTTATATGAAATGATGGCAGAGATGCAGGCAAGCTTGAGGCTATACAGGGGCATGAAGATCAAGATAAGAAACTTAACTGGGTGTAGAAAGCTAGAGGGAGCTCCCAGAGGGGTTTTTAAAGTGATGTAGGGAACAGACGCTCTGCATAATTTGTAATAGGTACGGAACTAATTCTTTAACTAGGGATAGATTGTACCCGTAAAGCATAGGTCAGGGTCCTAAAAAGCCATGTTTTGTACCAGAATATAGCTACTTCAGAAACTACCACCGCTTCTGGCATTTTCAGGACAAGAAGTCAGCACATATGATCTTATGTGGCCAGCAGGCTCTGGGGGCATTACAAAAGGCAAAGAAGAATCTCAGAAAGGGATGCATTATTGCATAGCTTATAATGTCAGTAAAAGATTGTTAATGAAAATAACAGTAGGTGAGAACAGACAAAAGCCTGGATCACATTCCCAGAGTGCTTATCTTAAGCTGGGGAGCTATACTTGCAGCATAAAACGTAAACCTAAATGTAACAACAAGTACCTGTATTCTGGTTTTCCAGATGTGGCATGTTTTGCAGATACTGGGGTATAGATATATTTTCTGGCAGCTTGCACAAATCTCAAGCTTTTAACTGCAATAACAAAGGTCAGAATTTTACTGGTTATGCAGCAGCTACCGGAAAGTCATCGCCAATGAGAAGCAGGCAGGTGGCCGGGAGGGATGACTGACATCACTGATGTCTTATTTATTTATAACTTCAACAAAAACAAAAGAAACTCCTTCCAGCACTCCTCATTGAGCATAAAGTGATTCTACATCACACGGCCTTCCTGCCACTGTTACCAGGACTCTGCTTAGACATTTCCTCTCTTACATGTGCTCTGCAGGGAGGTTTCTTCAGTAATGTGGTGGGTGCTGGAGAATTACCACCTTGCTCATGCACTCCTCCTGCTCCTCTGTACAGGCCCTCTCACAGGCCCTTTGACCTGCAATAAAATGATGGGGGGTTTACCCCACATCTGCCCCGCGAAGGCTCCCATTCTGCCTTGCCAGGCTTTCACTCTTTGCTGATAGGAACAACGCTCATCAGCCGGTGCATAGACAGTCCGGGGCTTTGCAGCCCAACTCCACTCAGCCCTTGAGCTCAGACACAGCAGAGTGCCTTAGCGCAAGGAGGCAGAGCAGATACGTCCCATTGCAAAGAAATACTAACTAACCTGCAAAGTAGTGTTGTGTTGCTCCTCAGATACAACACATGAAGACAGCATATGGTGCTCATCAAAATGTTACTGCCAATTGCATGCTGATTCTCCAGCACATGTTTTAACTGAACGACTGGGTTTGTTTCAGCTCCTACGGCTGTCCCTACTGTTTCCGAAGGCAAACCTGTGGATGAGTGTGATGATGACCAGGCAAACTGTCACAGTGGCACAGGTGATGACTACCAACTGACAGGTGCAGAAACCATCCTCATTCCATTGCAGCTTCATTGTAGCTCATATCCATCATCAGTTACCAGCTAAATGTTTGAACTGATTTAATCACTCAGCATAAATGGACATTGGTATGCAGTTCGTATTGTCACTGCTGTCAAAACATAGGCATCTGCCTTTTACATATGACAATACTTTTGATTGTTTTCTCAGCTATGTAATTTTTGAAGCAAATAATAGTGACTAGCTGGAAGAGAGGGCTTTTTTTTTTTTTTAAGCACGAATTGTGTCTAATCAAATGTCCTAATCAAACTTTCTCTTATTAAGAAAAAAAGCTGGACAAACCTTTTGAGGTTTATTGTCTGAGATCGAAGAACTCAAAATGAAATATTGTTTAGGTTCAAGATACATGTACGCTTCCATACCTATAATTTACTATAAGACTCAAAATCTCAGTCCTAAACCTCTCCCAGACAGAAACAGAACAGATTTGTTTCATCAAAGCATATTCACACACATACCACCAGAGAGATTTCCATGAGCTTCCCCACCAACGCTGCATTACAGCCACAGAGGCGCTGATGTTCTCCAAGCTGCCATCACTAGCAGAAAAATAGGAGGGAGAGACATAACATAGTCTGCATCTGGAAGGGAGGAAGCTTGCTAGTTTTCATAGCCTCCCAGTTTCGCACAGAGCCACTGTCCTTCTGAGAGAGCTGACACTGCACCACAATGTTTTTGATCTCTTCTTGGAGGTCACTTGCTCCACAAAGCTCTGGGCTTGTTTGATGAGATCTTCCTGTAGCAGATCTATACATCTACAGTAATTGAGCTTATTTTTGGACACAGCGACACAAGTTATTTTATCACTGCTCCCTGGTGTGCTTATCTAATAAATGTTTATTGCTTCTTATATCCATGATATAAAATAGCATTAAAATCTGGCAACAGCTGTCCAAGAGGACATTGGGAAACCTTAGGTAAGAGATAGGCTTTTTGGAAGCAGCCAAGTAGAACATCCAACAGCAGATACAAATGAAAGTGCAGTTTCAGCATCAAACCTTTTCTGAGCTTTGCCAATGTCTCCTGTAAATGCATGTGGAAAATCATGAATTGAAAAGCAATTCTTGAGTGGAAAAGACACTGCACTGTCACTGTCACTGCTTTTCAAATCAGTGCCCAAGATGAATCTTGTTCTTTTTGAAAACAGCTATGCAAGGAGTCTGATAAAATAGTCTGTACTGTGTTAAGGCAGCTCAGAAAGCTTTCGATGTTACTAAACATTGTAATTTATTTATTTTTCTGAAAGGAAAGAGCCAAGTCAGGAAACCCTGGGGCTTCCTGGAAAGCCCTACATGGAGGGCTGGCTTGCAAAGCCCAATACGTAGAGACATATGTCATATAGATGGAGGCTGTGTGAGGGGAAGGAGACGGATCTGTGCAAGCACCTTCCCTGTTCCCTCACTCATACTCTCTGCACTTCAGGGAGCTCAGGACTGCATCCCACATGTCCCTTAGGGAAAGGTTATTGAGCAGAAGAAACTCCCTCTGGCAATTTTTGCAGGTTGTGCTTAGGGAGCAGCTTATAAACTCGAAGATAAGGGAACAGTCACCAGCCTTCCTGAGCACTGGCTCTTTTGGGAAACTGAACCTACTTCAGTACTGATTGAAAATTACTACATTGCCCTTCAACAGATGTGCAGACACAAGTATAATGCATTACTCTACTACCTAGAAACCTTGACCAGTGCATGCCCAGTTGTTCTGGACACTGTAGAAACATTGCACGTATGATTTTATGTATAACACTAAAATGCACAGAAGTGATTTTACCAATAATTTCATTGTAAACATTCTTTCCTTCCTCCCAAATTCATAGAAGGAAAGTATGTAAATCTTGTGGCCCATTAGGAATAGCAGGCCAGTGCAGAGGGGATGTTATCAGTGCTTTACCCTCTTGTATCCACTCCCAGCGCAAGTGTGGCGCCCACATTCTCATGGGTATGACTGTTAGAGTCACTTCTCTGAACATATGTGAGTATCACAATGAAGCCTCCCTTGCAATTAACTGTAATTGTGCTGTAGGCCAGATTCCTTCCTGCTCAATTTGGACCCCATACAGAGCTACTCTATTTGCGTGGCTTATAGCATTTCCCATCAGATCATTCTCACAAACATAAAGCTGATATAGCTTGGGCATTCATTCTCATTGGAAGTCATCATAGTCATCCTTTCTATAATGCTTTAAGCACTTCCTTGCTGGAGAAAAGAAAAGCCATTGACTGGTAATCAGCACCCCACTGCGCATTTATAATTGTGCTAATTTACTTTTTGTTTCCTTTATCAATATGAGGCTGAGGCTTGCTTTAAAAAGTCAAGTATTTTAAAAATATCAATTAGTGAGCTTAGGAGAGGGCCATGACCCCACTCACCTCTTGTTCATCTGCTTGAAGAAGGCGACAAAGAGGAAGTCCTTAATTCCTCTTGCTCTTTGAGACAGAAGTTAAACCTGCCTTAGACTGTAGCCTAAAGTCGGGCAATTCCCATGCACCTCTCTTGTGAGCTGCTCTCACAACGCAGCTGTGAAACAACGCACAGGGAGGACCCAGAATGGCAGGGGCTGGAGAACCTCACATCCCTGACACAAGAAACCACGTGTTATGGGTGAATGCACAAAGTGGTGACTGTTAGGAGGTGCTACAGAGTTCAGTCTCTGACTTCCCACATGATTTGGAGCAAATCAGCTCCTAGAAAACAAGGACAGCCACAGGGACGTGGTGAGGATTGATTAGTTGGTGTTTGCAAGGACTCCAAAGATATACAGCTTTATTAAATGATGAGTTCTTGTTTTCTTTTTTGATAAAGGAAACCATGTCTTTAATGTCATATTTTCATGCTTAAGCTCACATACTCAGTTACCTATGTGACTAATAAAGACGGTAATATTTCATATTTATATATAGGGTATTCCTAATGACTGCTGTGTCCTTTGTGGTGTCCCGTGTATCATGATATGCATAATTTCTTTTCCAGGTGGCACTACAGTGCTGAATACAGAAAAGCCAACAGTAATAGACAATACGTTACAACCAGGTAAAAACAAAAGGGTTTTTTTTCTCATTAAAAATATAATAAATGCCATACCCAAATTTCATGCGAGAGACAAAATAATGAATTGCAGCACTTCCTGACTTCCCATTCACTAAAAGTCTCTGAAGTAAAGAAGCATCTGGTCTCTCAGCTCTGTACAGTAAATATTTTATTCCTTTCATCCACATGTAGACACAGCACAGAACAAGATTTCCTTCTGCATCAGCAAATGCCAAATGCTGACAAAATTAAACTAACTTAATCACACGGTGCACTCTGTTTAAATGTGGCATGTCAGTGACATAAAGTGTGTTTGCAAACTGGGAAAACAAAAACAGAACCACACAGGCCCACTCACTATTTATATCCATGGTTTTGCAAAACTAAGACAAGTGAAGTTTGCCAGTTTTCTCCACCAGAGAGCTGGCAGTTTTACAATATTGTTTTCCATCAAGTTTTCTCAAAATGAGGTTACATAAACTGCTACCATGAACTTGAAAAGGGAAATGCAAGTTGTCACTGGCAGCAGGTCCTTTCTACTTAATCAATACAATAACTGGAAGCTTTTAAAATCCTTAGCTTGCTGCTTCCACAGCTTTCATGCCATTGTTTAATATCCTGTATAATTTACTGGGAGAGGGGGAGAGGATAGATTTGGGCAGAAAACCCAGACTCCAAAAACTACGAGCACCAGTTTAAAATCCTTTGCATTAATAATTGCAGAGTGGTAAAGACGTCAGTTTTCAGCTACTCCCATTTCCTCCATTAAAGTACAGTCAGGCACAGTCTTGCAAGTGATTTATTAACGGGGTGGGTAAGTGTTTATCATTGTTTCCTCAACCATGTGACACAATCGCCTTTTGCTTCTAGCAAAAGAAAGGGACAAATAATGCAAAAATTTCCTACAGGACACTGATGGTGTCAATCTGATAAAGAGATAGAGCTGACTTCTCTTAGACGTCGTTCACGCTCTCAGCCTCTGCGTTCTGCTATTGCAGATGGAAATGCTTTTACTCCCCTCAAAATTTGTCTCCAGGGTCACTCAGTTGGCTTAGTCAGCGTACACAATTTCTAGCTCTGCCCTGCTTTACTAGCAGAGGGAGATTGTGGAGTACGGGTGCCATGAGAAACACGACGGCAGGCTGGCCCACCCTCACGGGACACCTCTCCACACTGCTCTTCCACAGACAGTGTTGCCGAAGGGCTGGAGGGCTGCTGGTCATCCCACAGTTCCGAAAGGGTTAAGGGATACAAAGAAAGAAAGGATGCTGTGCAGCAGGTTTAGAGTAAAGCATTTTAACCTTTATGTCTGAAATTATCTGCTAGCTTTCTATTTTGCTGAAATGAAGGCTTTTTTACAGGGTTTTTAACTATCTTGTTACATTTAAACAAATTGCAAATTCATTAAGTGCCCCTGTGCAGTGCAATTTTCCTCCCCTCTCCCCAATGCCAGTTGCGTTTGCAGGCTGTGTTTAATCCCTTTGGCTTGGGTGGGACTTTCCAGTAATAGATTGTTTCTGCCGGAGATTAAGATATCCTCATTTTCTCTCCTTACTTCCCCCCTGCACCACCTTCGCTTACTCTGTGATGAGCCAAGTTTTTTCCCTGCTAAAGGAGTTTCTGAGGTTGCCTTCAGAGCATGCCAATGTTACTTCCCTGCATTGTGCTGGTAGGAACTGTTTCCTTCCGGGGAATAAGGGACGAGTTCACATCCCAAACTCCAGGCTCCCACATGGCAGCACATTACAAAGATCATAGATAGAGATCAGTCAGATGCTAATAAATAAGAATAAGGCTTCCAGAATCTCCAGTTTAAAATGTAAAGGTTTCCAGCTGCTTCATAATCCCTTACTGAAAACTAGCCAGAAAACTCCCAAAAAGGGGCAGATAGAAACTCCCCTCAACGTGGGGAAACCCCTCCTGGCATGAAGGTGGTGTAAGCATTTCCTTCTGCTGAAGAGGCATGGGTGGACCTAGCTGGCACGAGGGAGAACATCAGAGCAGGAGGCCATGCAGCAGGGAGCAAGAGTCTGCTACAGCAGCCACAAATAAGCTAGTTTAAACTGGCCTTGAAGTTACAGAGCTGCTCAGGCCCCCCCAGCCCTCAGCTGGCTGAGGATAAGTGCACTCCAGCTCTTTCAGCTAATCTCAAGGTGAACAAGGTATGAATTTAACACACCAGGGACTGAGCCTTCAGCTTCAGCTTTAATTCCCTCAAAGGGCTGGTTTACCTTAAAATGCTAATACACCTTGAGGTAAATGGTGAACTCCAAGCCAAAGAGCTGTTCCAGATGAGCTGCAGGATGGAGGCTCCAGGGGTAACCCTCCATGAGGTACACTGTGCCAGCGCTGGCCACAGCAGCTTGTGCCACAGTGATTCAGGACGGAGATTTACTAGCCCTTTCAGTAGCAGCACCTGCTGTGGTGCAGGTACTTCTGCAATAGGTGCTAACGTCATGTATTGCTGTCCTCCTGCCTGCATTCAAGCCTGCAAACACCCCTAATCTTGTTATCCCAGACTAACATGCTTTGTGTGTCAAAGCCTGAGATTATCCTATTCCGCCCGGCGTTCATACACTATGGAAACAGTTAAGAGCAAATAGCTGGAAAGCCTCCATGTATAAACAAGCTTTCCATCAAGAAGACTTTTACAGTTCATTTCAAGGGGACTGAATTGCAAAAAGAAATAAAAAAAAGAATCGTGATTTCAAACTGCTAAAAATGTTTAAAGGTTTGGATTTTTTTTAAGAGAGGATCTACTTTCCTCCTCAAACTTAAAAAGATGCCTTTAACAAACCAGTCTGTCAAGGTAAATACCTTTCAGACCTCGCTCCTAAGACTCACCAACATCTAGTGTTTTTCAACACATCTTTTTCAATTCCAAAGGACTATTTGAAATGCTTGACTCTTAGCTATTTACATACAGAGCAAGCTGTTCATTTACATTACGTGCTCTCAGCGTGTAAGCTCAATCCTTTGTAAAGCAGACTGTTCAAGAAGTAAAGTATCTTGTTTTTCACACATGTAATACCTATTTCAAAAAAATATAACTAAGAAATCCTGAGGATAAAATCTATGCTAAGGAGTCACTTAAAGGTAGAATAGGTCTAATTCATATTTATGGTGGGACAACTTTGCATCAATAAAGGGATATTAAAGCAGTTAATTTATCATTGACTATCATTTAAGGTAATTCTGTGCTGCCAGCATAAGTGGTATAAAAAAGTGAAATGCAAATAAGAATCAGTCCCAATATATTACTTTGAAGTGGTCCAAATTATGTTTGTAATGTCCCATTTTAATGTTGATTTGCCCTTTGGCAAAAGCCTCCTATAGAGAATTTTCATAGCATCTTTAATGCCATCATGCTCCTTCTTGCTTCTTGTTGGAAGAGTTATAAAAATATGTCAAAGTCTGTGGGCCACGAAAGATTAATGGACTTGCAAGAAACTCACTCGACTAGATTTTCAAATGACTTTCTTGTTCATGTGCAGTAATGGTTCCAGCTGTGAGCAAGATGTGGTCAAAAAGTACAGCTGTTGGTTATTCTTTGAGAGGATAAATCTGTTTTAATTCAGTATCACGTACCCTACATTTTGAAAAAGGCATATGGGATTTTGTCACACCTCCCTCTCAGATTCTCATCTGAACTGCTGCTATTTAGTTACATAATAGCTGGCTTTCTTCATCCTCGCAATACATACAAACCCAGAGATCAATCACCTATTGGCAGGAGAATTATCCTAGCAGGGGAATGGGCCAGTGCTGCAGAGGGATCCCACCAAATGCTGCTCATCCCTACTTCCCTGCCTTCCACCAGAGCTGCCAAGACACAGTTCAAGCACAAAGAAGTGGACAGATTGCCTGTCGCTTACTGTGAGCTACTGTATCAGCCCCCTGGGAACTTTAATAGAAGTGTCGAACTATTCTGTCTTTCGCTGGGGCAGATCCGTTGTCCATACGACTAATGAACCTATCCTGATGCTACAAGTGTCTACTATTAATTGGCTAGCAGGTCTATTATTAATTTTTATGGGTCCCTGGGAGAACCGTTGGAAGAGACACAAGAACAGACAATAAGAGATGGCATGTTTAAGGAGCCCATAAAATAAGAGCACTCTGAAATGCCTTGCCTTTGACCTTCAATCTCATTGCTGTGATTGTCCAAGGAATATATTAACACAATCACTTTTAAGAAAACAATAGGAATCCAGCAAGAAATAGCTAACTGAGAGCAGGTTACTGGTCAATTTCAGGGGATTCTCATTAACTTCTGCATGGAAAAGAACTTCATTTTTATGCTACACCATGCTGTCTGTGAGACCAAAGCCAAGGAACACAGGCATGGCCAAAGCATATCAGACTTAGGCTCTTTGCCAATTTCCTGGGCTATATATTTCAAATGGAAGCGTAAGAAATTCTTTATTAGATGGTGCTGTGAAATTTAGCTCTGCTTTGAAACTCTCCTTCTAATCCCAATGTTCAGAGTTGGCTTCAGACCATGAAGCAAAAGGCTTTTGTCACTCCCTGCACTTTAGAATTACAATTAAATTCTGGATATTTTCCTTATCCCTTTCAGTGTCCAGTTCTCTTTGAATCGTGCTCAGCCTTAGCAGCATTTGAGGGAAGCAAGTCCGGCTCATATCATATGAATATTTTTTTTCCTTTGATTTGCATTGAACTTCACTGGATATCTCATAGTTCTCAGGCTATGAAATGGAGAAAACAGAATATTGTAATCTTCCTTCTCTGGATTCTTTACCCATTTACATACTACTTCTGTGTCTTCTGCTATTTATTTTTATTCAGAGTTGAACAATACCAGTCCTTTCAATCTCTTTGTGCTATGTGCTCATTTATGCTGTGTGATATCTTCAGACTGATGTGATCTATCTACCACTGTTCTCCTTTCTTGTGGTTTGAATACCACACAGGCTATCACAAGCTTTGCATGATATAATCCTTTGGGATTAATAAGATTAATTTTGTTTTACGTTTTCTAAGACCTTTTCTAAAGTTCTGTTTCATGGCTCTGATGTCAAAGCCATGCAATATAGCTCTCCCTATGCCTCCTTGACAATGAAAGGCTATTTTTCACGAACTTAAAACCCTTTCATTTCAATGTCACTCCATTTCTTTAAAAAACTCGCCTTGATTTTCACATGTCCCCTTTTGGGCAAGATGTCTTTGATCACGGCCCCGTTGTCTAGAAAAAAAAAAAAAAAAAGTATACCGAAGAAAGAAACATAATGGATTGCCTTTCTGCACCCACACACGCACAGGCCGAGTTCTGCTTGTTCAACATTTTGAGCCCAAAGAGAGATTATTCACCATGATCTGCCCCTTTCCTAGAAAGGGCTAGGGTCCTCCAGGAAACATGTTTTCTCCACATTGAATTCCTGTACCAGACATTGTCTGTTTAATTCATTTGTTCCCAGCGACGATGCCGTATTCGTGACAATGTGGAGTAGACCCCTCTGGAGGCCAGCGGGTGGGAGGGGGGAGGCAGCCGTGATGGGGCAGATGAAAGGAAGGAGCAAAGAATGAGGGCTCAGCTTGGAGAGATGCCGCAGCATAGCCAAGGTGGAGGAGAGGAGCAGGAGCTGCCGCTGTACATTCAGACCTCTCTGCTGACAGAAGGAAATTTTCTAGGGGCCAGAGGGGAGAGGGCACCGTGGCTGCAATGCAGGAATCCAGTGACCTGGGTTAAAACTGTGTCTGGGAGCAAGGACCTGCCAAACAAGGACACAGCAGACAAGGAGAGAATTTTTATATCCATTTTTATATCCATTCTGTCTCAACCGACTCACATGAGGTTTTCTCCATGTTGATAAAATGATTATTCTAGTTTACTTTCCATTAAAATCTGGCTTGTGAGTTCAAAAGCCTTTCCAGTCTTCCCTGAACAGCTCGCTATGTGGAGGAGGTCTTTGCCTCTTCAGTCTGGAAGAGCTCCACCTCAAAGGTCTGGCCAGCCACAGGTCCCAACACACTTCCCATATTTCTCCATATTTTCCCAAAATAAACAAAACACATTCTAGGGTTGCGTTATCTTTCCTGGGCTTTTTTAATAACGGGCAAGAAACACAATTCTTCCCCCAGAGCTGATATTGATGGGAGCGGAGTCCTTTGTTCTTAGTTCATACTTGCACAAAGCATCTCATTAAAGTAAACCTAAGCTATTCCTTTCATAAGGCGTGAGTCATGCCTGAGAAAAGACTTCAGGATTTGGTCACACTGCTGTGGGAAGGGTATTGCTCTACTGGGGGTTGACATTGCTCAAGGTGAGGTAAAGGTTCATACCAATGGGGTAAGAACCAAAAGCCCAAAAGATTTCAAACTGCTTCTGAAAATAAGAAATGCAAGGGATTTATGTGCTATCTTTGAATAATCTTTCTATTCAAATTCCAAGTTCTATTGAAGAAAATAAGCTACTATGTATTAAACCTTTGGGCAGAATTGAAGAGAAGCTGAAAACAAGATATGATCTCATCCTGACCATAATACCAGACTTCCCTTGTTTTACATGGAGCTTGTTTTGAAGCTTATTTTGAGTTCATTTGGCAATCAGCCACATTTGTCCCTTTTCCGTCTCAATTTGTCCATTTCAATGCTGCCATCTTGTGGGCCTACTTAACTGTCTGGAAGATGCTGAAATAAATTCCTTACTGAAGCCACGTACTATACATTTCACCAGAAATCCTTTCCTGCCAAGGACATTCCATTAGTGTTTCTGCCCTTTCTTATTTTTGTCCAAGTTTGATTCTCAGTTGTTGCAAAAAGTTGCAGTTATGGTACAAATATATATTATCAATGAACAAATATATCTGATAAGTAAGCCAGAGCTTTCCTTTTTGAGTCATATATGTTACAGTAAAGTTACCAGCCAAAGTGGGCAAATCAGAAGAATTAATCTAACCACAAAAAATCCCAAAATGTGGGTCATAAAGAGACAAGAAAGAACCACGTCATTTACTAGAAATAGTCATTCTTCATCTGTTTCCCAGCAGGGCTACTTTTGCTATAGCTTCTCAGAGTTTCAAGTAGGAACGGCTCTGTTAATGGCCAAATGCATGCATTTGGCTTTGAAGTACAAAATCTGAATTATGCAGTTAATAATCGCATTTTGTTCCTCCTTTTCCCCCTTCCCCTGCAGAGCTGCCACTATACAACTTCAACTGTGCCTTTGGCTGGGGATCTCAAAAGACTTTGTGCCACTGGGAGCACGACAACCAGGTGGATTTAAAGTGGGCAATCCTGACCAGCAAAACTGGGCCAATTCAAGACCACACAGGTAATCATGAGTTCATGATTTAACCACTTTGCATGGGACGAGGTTGCTCTGTTTGATACCAACATGCCTCCCAAAACCAAAGGAGAATAAACTATACCTAAAATATGTAGAGTCTCAAAGATGATTCTCCAGGCAACCTAACCTGTTATATGTAGTTACAACTGACCATAATTGTCCTTTCTGTTGGGGAATAAAGATAATTTATTGTCAGGAACTGAAAATACTCCCTTCTCCTGACTTGCCTTTGGATAGCCGCCACCTAGGGTAGAAAAAAATCTGAATGACCAGATGTTGTGCAAGTATCATTTACCAGGTGATACAGTCATAAACAAACCTCACATTTTTCCTGTTCATAGTTACAGGGGCTGCCCACTACAGAAAGGTGTTGCAAGTGAAACTTCCCAGATGGATGTATTTCCATGCCCTCCTCCTCTCCAGCAGGAGTTGGAGATTATGGCCATCCCTTCTCTCACACACAGTTTTTCCAGAAATATTACCCTGGGAAATTGATTGGTTGGTTTTGTAGTATCTAACTCATGGCTCTGCATAATTAGGCAATAAATATGCTGCTGGCTAGTGGCGAAGGGAGGGCGCTGTGTGACCTGTGCAGCCTCTCACTTTAGTGTTCTCTCTTGCATACGTGCAGATTAATCAAATGTGTTGAGATTAATCCTCCTTCCCACTTCTGCAACCCCTTTGCCTAATGAGAATGACAAGGAAATTAGACAAAATTGGACTTTTTACATTCTGAGACACTTTCAATTGAATCTTAAGACAAGTACAGTAGTTTCAGGGAAAAAAAAACTTATAATACTTTGACTATAAATGGCATTGTACAAATAAATGGCATCAAATTAACTAAATGCAGTTAGCTGAAATGAAGGCTGTAATGGTGGAAAAATTGATGTAGAGAAAAGTGAAATGGCTCAGTAGGATCTGACATTGAAAGGAGGTTAAAAGCTATGTTAGCCACAGACTGACAAAATCTAAAAGGCATGCATAAGTAAAACTCTAATTAAGACAATGAAGACAGAGTTCCTGACCCAGCACTGCAATAATATTCTGGAAATGAGAGCTATCTGCACTTTGCCACCAAGGATTACAGAGAGACTGAACCTGTCTTCAATCAAGAGATGAAGAAATGATATTCTTCAAATGAGATTTTGTTGTTTCCGCTGGGCCCTGGTAGTGCAGAAGACTTATTTGTTCCATTAGCTGTAACTTCACTAAGCCTTACATGCAGCCACTTTTTCTCCTTACTGCACTAACTTTCAATGTTTTCCAAGATTTTCCTTCAACTCTACGGGCACCTTCACCTGCCAGGTCTGCCGTTTGCCTGCCAGCAGGTCCAGAATGAGTGGGGTGGGTGTGAACGCAGACCACAGGCAGTCTGCATGGCACTGCCATCCCAAACAAGCCCCTCAGCGTCACCACTACACAGCAAGGCCACCCTATATGTTGGGAGAACCACAATGAGCAATTCCCAGGCATATCTTGCTCTCAGTTGCACTTGAATAAAGCTGAAGAAACTCCACAGAAGTGATCTTCAACAGCAATTGCTTTAAGACAGCAGGATATGCTGTATGTCACTTCAAATTATACATGTTATGATTAAATCTGGCCAGAGTTACATCCTCCAACTGAGACAGCCATCATAATGCTGTGATTATTTTTCTTTTTTCCTCCCTTCGGATTTTCCTATCACCTTTCTTTGATGAGATTTGCACATGTTGTGCTGCCCTCAGCACAGAAGCAAAGTTGGAAAGAATATATACGCACTACTGCTGAAGAAGTTGGACAAGATGTAACTGCAGTAAGATTAAAAAAAAGAAGACAAAAAAAAAAAAGCCTAAATTCTTTTTGGCAATTTAATATCATCTTCCATTATAAAATTCTTTCAAAGACCAGATACTTCCACATGCATATCGGCCAGGATACCTCTGACTGCCCACAGAAAAATCCAAATAAAAGAAAACATCCTTGTCTCCTGTTAGAATAAATATTTCCCTTTCTCATTTATTAGGCCCACTCCTTCTAACCACAGGGTTTAACCCACTCCTCTTTCTTCGTGTTTTTACTACCTTGCCCTTCTTATACTTCCCAGAGTGGCAGTCCACATCTTCCCTTCTTCATTGATGCAGGACTATACCATTACAGTCCAGCAAGTCTCAATTATACGTTGTTTCAAATGAAACTCAAGAATATCGTATCTAAGCAAAGACATGACCCTTCCAAAACATCTTATTTCACCTCTTCTTACTTTTGTTTAAGCATTGGTGTAAGCAGAGATATATATACTTATTTCAGCATTTGAGAGATAGTATGTCTTATTTCACCTCTTTTCACTTTTCTTTTGCTTAAGCATTGGTATAAACAGAGAGATATGTACTTATTTCAGCATTTGAGAGATAGTATTTCTTGTTATTATTTTTCTCCTTCCTACTTTCAAAGTAACTTTATACCAATGCCAGTAAATGCTGCCTCCATCCTTTTGTGCGAGTGCATTACACATGGCAGCTATTCTTACACAAACTAGGATGAACCTTGTATTTTTCCACCATAATTCTCTGCAAAGAAGCTGTTCAAAAGAGGACTGGAATGGATGCCTGGCTGGTGTAAATCAGAAGCACTTCTCTGTAGTCAGTACCTTACTTAGCAATTTTCTGCTACCAAACTAATCACACTCCCACATGCCTCTCTCCCAATATGATTAAGCAAGTGATTTTCCAAGTTAACGATATTAGGTGTTCAGATTTCAATGTGTATAAATCCATTATGCTTTTCAGAAAATACCAGCCATAATCTTAGTCTTTTGGGAAACGGCTCACAAATACACATAGCCCAATATACTATTACAAAAATCAAGGGAATAACTTTGGCACCATTTGTGACAATGCTCAGACCCTATTTAGGAGCACTGTTTAGATCTCAGTTCCTGATCTCTGACCATGGCTGTTCAAAGCTATTTTATCCTCCAGTGTTCTTCCCATTCTAATCTTGCCTCCTCGAGCACAGATTACTTTAAACAGAGATTAAAAATAGCTCTTTGCACAATTAATG